GATGTCCCAATATTTCTAGACCTGACTGTAGCTAAATTTGGCTATAGGAGCCAAGTTAATTTATACATTAGGTGCAAGAACAGAATAACAGGAAGGAATTGTTGAAGAAGTGAAGGTATCTGGCACCTTGGGGAAAATGACCTTGTTATTGTTGAATTTGTGAGATTCAGAGGAGGAGGAACTGAGAAGAATCAGGCCTCTTCTAGCTTGTAGAGTTGGAAAAATGGATTTGATATTCTGAGAGAAGGTAGATTGGGTCCAATAGCTTCAAACTGTGAAGGAGAAAAGTATCCAGGAAAGATGAGAAATCTTACAAAATGAGATACTGAAGGCACAATTGCAAACACTCCCCACAAGAAAGAAAAATGGATGAAATCTAAAGAGACTAGCATGGATATATACAGAGTTTTCCAATTGCTGAAGAGGAAATGGGACATATGTGGGAAATGGAAGGATTATTATTTATTAAATTTATATGCCACTCAATTCCCAGCAACTCTGGGTGGAAGGAAGGAAACATAACCGAAGAATACAAGGTGGTCTGCAGGAACTGTCACAAAATCCCAGAATGAGCTGAAGCTTGTGAGAAATACCAAGTATACCAAAAAAGATTCTTTGGGTATGTTACACATAAAAGGAAAGCCAAAGAGGATGTTAGTCCATTGCAAGAAGAAAGTGGTGATGGTAAAACAAAACTTCTTAACTCCTATTTTGCATCTGTCTTCTCTCAGAAGAGAAATGGAGACCCAACTGGTCATTGTTATGGCACCAGGAGAACAAGGGACTAAAGCTTAGAATAAACGAGAAGAAGGTAAGAGAGAATTTAAAGTAATTTAAACAAATTCAAAACTCCAGGGCCAGGGTATTGAAGGAACTAGTAGGATTGCATTTTAGGTAATCTGAGAACACCTGGAGAATTGGTGAGATCCTAGAAGACTGGAGAAGAAATGTTGCGCACAAAAAGGGGAAGGAGAAAGATCTGGAAAGTTACTGACCTATCACTTGATGTCTGACTTCTGGGTGAGGAAAAACGGTGAACTAGATTTCTCTGAAACTTGAGACTTTGTGAACATAGAAATGGGACACTAGAGGGCACTAAAATTCCAGGCAAGAAGAAGAAAAGTCAAATTTACAAAATGACAAAGGTATAACACTTGAGACTTTTTTTATAATAAATTTATTAGAGATTATACAGATAAAAACTAATACAAACTACAAAAAAGAAAAAAAGAAAATAGAAAGTGCAAAAAAAGAAAAATATAGCAAAGAAAAATATATAAAGAAGTAACTTCCCCCCTCTTCACAAGTATAAACATTTTTAACAACTCATCACCTCTTAAGAACAACAATCTCTTCATCCCCTATCTCATCTCATTATTTATAAACAAAACTTAGAACCTCCTCATACAATCCTAATCAGTGAAAGTCTATCAAGGGTTACCAGAAATAACAACATATCTATTTTAAACTTAATCCAGTAAACCCACTTTATAATCCTTCCTCTTACTTTTATATCTTTTTTATCTAATCCATTAAAGGTTACCAGAAATAACCACTTAACTATTTAAACCTAAATCAAGTAAACTTAAAAATACAACAAATGAGCTTTTCTTCCCTTATCTCATCTCTTATTTAAAAACAAAGCCTTAAAACCTCATCATTCAGTCCTGGTCAACAAAAGTCCATTAAGGGTTATCAAAAATAACATATCTATTTTAACCTTGATCAAATAAACCAACTTTATATTCTTTTCTCTTACTCCCAACAGGCTTAATCTTGAATCCCTTCAAATAATGTCTTAGGACTTGATTTCTTTTTCTTTTTTTGGTCTCTTCTCACAAGCTCATTGAAAACTTTAGCAGATCTCTTTGCCAGAATCTGATTTCTTTTCATTTTTTATTTGCCTTTCGTTGCAGAATCCTTCAAAACTTTAACAGGTCTCTTTTGTACATCCAATATAGGAAAATTATCCATGCCACTCTTCTGGTTTATTATTTGTATGTCCCTTTTAATTATTAAAGCCTCAGCCGGTTTTATTTGTATAGCTGGTATTTCATCTTTTTCCATATCATTCTTGTAGCCTGTCATTTTTAAATCCACACTTAAATCACTTTCAGTCTTATCCGGTAGAACTCGTTCCTCTTCCATAGCATCATTTACAGACAGTCTATCTGTAATAGCAGATATTTTTGAAATTAAGTTCTGAGTCCATTGTTTACAAATATCCTTCAATAATTCTAATGTCAAAGTATTTTGCTCTATTCTGTATTAACAAATAAAATTTAGGTGTTCTTTAATTGTAATCTTTAGTTCCTTCTGGTTTCCTCTAGTATTCAAACTTCAAAGCCCTATCCAATGATGTTTCTATTTTTAGAATTCAAAACATCCAGTTTCCAATGGGAAGTCTTCATATAATTAATTTTAAAATATTTTTCTAAATTCATCTGGACCCTTAGTCCATTTATAACTTTCCAAAATCAACACTCTAATCACCCTTTTACTGTTTAATCCAAAAATAAATTTTTCTAAGTCTTTAAATTTATACTTAAAACTTCTTTTGCTAAGGATTGAAGTTCACCCAGTGAACACTGTAAAATATTTTATAGTGAATACTGCAAAAACTTGCCATTCTGAAGGTTCTCAATCTTTAAAAGACAATAAAAAAGTAAAAAAATAATTCCAAAGTGATTAAGAAATGAGGCTTGGCCAAATTTTTTGTCAATATAGGCTACATTACAACTGTGAGCTTAGATGGAATCCCTTGACTCCCAGTCACTCAACTGACAAGTTGACTGCAAATATCTCTGTTCCTGTCTACTTGCGAGGAGCTGTCCAGAGTATGTGCGGGCGATCTTGCGATCTCTCCTTTCTCTGGAGAGATTTCAGCGGTCTGGATCCAACATCCAGTCATGGATCCAACATCAGCCATGATGTTGCTCTCGCTCCTTCAGGGATGTTCACCATGTCCTCACCAGATCTTTGACACTTGAGCTATTTCAAAAGATTTTTGAACAACTGGGAGAGAAACTTATAATTGAATTGAGAGCAATAATCTCTGCACCTGCCAATGTACTTTTTGAAGATTACAAAGAAGTGAAAGATGTGACATACCTCAATATGGAAGAATTTATGGACAGATAGGATCCTCTTATTCATACAAATCTTAGCTGATGTAGAAATATTGGAAAATAAAGAAATTGTGGATTATAAAATGACAACCAGATTGTGGTTTATAAAACAACAACCAGAGTGGAAATACAAAGGACAAACCAAGAGATGGAAAAGGACCCGGGCAAGGACTTATTGGATTTACAAAGAGGGTTTCCAAAACCTTGAAGAAATCTTTGAGAGGGGAGAATGAGAATCTAAATGGAGATTCAATCCTACAACAGCAACTTGACTAATTAAAGATCAAGATGGTCAGAAGCAAAAGAAAGGAATATAAAGTTGACTTGTTTGATCAGGATTAAAATAAGTAGTTTTATAAAATTCTGGAACACCTTTATGGACTTTTTGCGAACATTTGGATAGAAATCTCAGCGATTTTTGGATTTGTGAATGGATAAGGGGGAGTTATGGGAAGAAGTGAATTATGTAATTTATGTAAACTGATAATTAAATTATGTATTAAGTAAATTATGTATGTAAAAAAGGGTGGGGAAATAGTTTGCTTGTACCTGTTGTAAGAAAATCAGGTGTCGCTTCTTTAAGTATTCTTTTTCTTTACACTTTGTATTTCTTTTTTCTTTGATTTTAGTTTGTATTATCTTTTAGTATTGTAAAACTCTTTAATAAAAAGTATTTTTTTTAAAAAAAGAACCTATCACTGACCTTTCACCTGATGTCTGAACTGGGTAAAATCTTCAAACAGATGATCAAACATGTTTTGAACACTTAGATAGGCATGTTAATAGGAGCCAGCATGGGTCTCTCCTTTGACAGAGTTACTAGCTTAATGAATCAGGGAAATGTTGTAGGTTTAGTGTATCTGGACCTCAGCAAAGTATTTGCATGAGGTTATTCGTCATAAAATGGAAAATAAGGGCTAAATAATAGCTGGAGTCATGGCTAAATTATTGTACCTAAAGAGGGATCATTAATGGAGAAAAGTATCAGAAGTACTTTATGTCTCTGTCCTGGACTTTCCGCTATCCAACATTTTTATCAATAACTTAAGGGAGTTGAACAGACACTTAGCAAACCTTAAATAGGATGGTACTGAACAATAAAAAATGTAAATATCTGCATCTCAGTAGGAAAAATGTCAGACCAGTATAGAAGAGGGAAAACTGGCTTGATAGCAGAACATCTGAAACGGATCTGGGTATCCTTGTTGTCCACAACCCTGACTCAGCAGTGTGAAACAACTGCAAAAAAAAAAAAGGGGGGGGGCAAATGCTGTCTTGGAACACATTAACGAGCAGAGTCTCACAGGAAGTGTCTCCCTCTAGAGATGCTCTAGCGGAGTTTGCACTGAGCTGGGGGTGGGGTGGGCAAAATACATTCTAAAGTTCCTTCCAATTCTATGATTACTGGCATGAAAAGCAGCTAGGACTACAGCTGTCTTTCTCCATTTATTGAAAAGAAGACCTAGACGACTCAGGTAGCTGCTCCCAAAACAGAAACTGTACAGCAGCAATGGTGGGCAGAAGATGGGGCCTGACTCAATGACAGACTCAATCTGCAAGCAGAATATTCATCTCCTTTCTTACTGCAGCAATCTACTGCCAATGGACAGGCTGTGGCTTGGTTGACCCAATGCAGCAAACCTTAACTCAGGTTAACAAAATATTATAGTCCAACAAATCAACATATTATGGCCTAATGTAACGGTATTCCTACAACTTACTGAATTACAAACCATCACGCACCACCTACACCTGTTTTTGCCGGGACTAGTGTGTTGTGCAAACTCGGCCTTCGGATGTTATGCAGGAGCAGGGCATGGTTTTGTTGTCAGAGTCTCATATTATTCTTAATCAGTTTTTTTAACAGGCCGAGGACCATAAGGCGGCATAGAAGTAATGTGAGGAACACCCTGCCCTGGAATCCCCTTTATTTCACTTTTGTGTGTCTAGTTATCCCCAAAATAGGACACTGATTACCAAGTTTTACTTATTTTGTAAACAAAACAGACTAGCACAAAAATCTCCAGAAAATCCAACCCAAAATCAGTTTTCTGCACGTTCCGGCTGAAGGGAGGCAATCCGACGGTGTCCAGCACGCAGAGCGGCGCTTCGACAGGACGTCCGGATCTTGGGGCTCGCTAGTTTACTCTTGAGGGGAAAGGCAGTTCGGGGCGCGGGCTCTCGGGACCCCGTTCTCACCGGCAGACCGCGGCGTCCGGCCCCCCTTTGAACCGGTCCGGGAGCGGCTCGGCTCGGCGGGCAGGTTTCCAGCGCAGGCCGCCGCGCGTCACTCGCCCTTTGGCTTCGGCCGGAGGAACTCGGTCCTGCCCTTGCCTCGGCCGCCGAAGGTGCGGACGCGGTGGATGAGCTGCAGCTGCCGCTCGATCGTGGCCCGGATGTCCACCTCGTCGGGGATGTGGACGTAGCGGACGTTCCTGCCGGTCACGAAGAGGTCCTGCAGCCGGGAGGCGCGGCCGTGGCGGTCGGTGAAGGTGGCCTCGCCCAGGCGCACGTTCATGAAGGCGTCCACGTTGATGACGCGGCCCACGGCCACGCTCTCGTCGCGGAGCTCCACGGTGGTGACGCGGCTGTGCAGGCCCTGCAGCAGCAGCACCAGGCTGTTCTCCGAGATGGTGCGCTCCTTCACCGAGTGGCTGATCTCCA